CCTTGCAAGATACTACAATCCCTTCCATTTTCTTGGGGAGTTGTGGATGCCTTATTCTACCTACTGTGTGAAACTGTACACATGTATTCAACTTTCTCGTGAACACTAGGCCAGGTAGAGAAACACTGGTGGTCAGATAGTTATTGGCAACAGAAATAATCAACTCTGCAGACATAATCATTAATGTAGTTAATTTCTTTTGTTTGGGGGGGGGGAGGTTTCTGTTATAGGGCACGTGCACTTGCCAGACAGACAGAGAGAGACAGAGAAACAGAAAGCAAGAAATTATCCCCAAGGGAGGATGGCTATGCCACAATCCCTTCTCCTCTGTTCTCCTCTCAGGATCCTGGGCACTCATGCACACGTGCTCGGCGTGAGTTTTAAGCCACCGGGTCCGGGATGCCAACTGCGGTCGACTACATGGGAGTCCAGCGACGTAGCCATTACGCTAACTGCTGGTCCCTAATGTAGTTAATTTCTGAACATGAATATATATTCCCAACCCAGAAAAAGGTAAATGTTTCTTTCTTGGGGTGATCAGACACAGGGGTCCCTTTTATTTGGTTTTTAGAGTGAGAGACAAGGTTTGGAATTTAGTGAAAAAATTCTTTCATTGGTCTGGCCCAAAAAGGTGGGACATCTGGAAATGAGGGTTTATAGGCCATAGCTGGGTATTACAATTATCATGTTGGTGATTGGAGAGGAAAGTCCATGTTTCAGGAAGGAATCAACAAATAGTGAACTTTAACTGAGATAAGGGGGGCTTGCGGATATCACATGATACTGTCTCCAAAATAGGATGTAGGAAGAGTCCTGTTATCAATGAGTCAAAATGGTCTGTTAATGTCTGTGAGTGACTCGTTCCAGACCCACTAGCAGGGACTTTTGGAAATGGGATAAGTATAGTGAGACAGGCTAGTATAGTGAGACAGGATAACTGCCTTGAACACCAGACTCTAGGTTGTGCTGCTGATTTTCTACAGATCATTTACCCTTCTCATAGAAACCTAGGAAAGAGAAGATAAGGGTAGGCAGTACCCACAATAGGAGTAAAACTGGAGGTTCCATTGTTTTGTAAAGGGAATGAACATTTTAATAAGAGTAGACACCAGGGGGTGAAGGTTTATTAATCAGTTCTTCTGCTAAGAACTTCCACCTACTATCTCATTTAGTCCTTTCTATAAGCACATAAACTAGGTGCTGTTAAGCCAGGCATTTTTTTGTTACTTCTAAATGATTTATACGTATAAAACCACTTAATTTTCATAAAATAATTTCAAGTCTATATTATAATTATTCCCATTAATACAGAAAGTAGGACTGCTGCTATTAGTAACTTTTCCAGTTCACACAGTGTTTAAGGTCTGATTCAAACTCAAGTGGTCTATTCTAGAAGCTACACACTGTACCTCACACTATAGCTATGTCAAGTGGCTTGCTTAAATTAGATAGCTAGGAAGTAGAAGGTCCTGAAATAAAAACAAGGTCTTCTATCTATTAGTGGAATATTTTCTCAACTTTTCCATTGTCTATATCTTCTAAGATGGTTCCTGATGACCCTTGATTCTTGATATTCACATTCATGTGTAATGACCTCCTCTGACTATAAGCAGGAACTAGGAACTTTCTTCAAATGAACTGAATATAACAACTGTGATGGAACCTCACCTTCTGGATTAGGTCAAAAAAGACTATTATCATATCAGCAGATGGCATAGAGTTTACACTGCTTGTTTGAATTCCGACGTAGTCAACCATGGTTTGAGTCCAAGACCCAGTGGTTTAAAACTCAGTCAGGTGCATGTGGGTACATGCCCAAAATCCTGAGAAGAGAATGGAGGAGAAGGGATTGCAGCATGATTACCCTCCTAGGGGATAATTTTTCACTTTCTATCTCTCTCTCTATTTCTCTCCAATGAAAGTACACACCCTATATGAAAAATCTCTCTAAAAAAATTAAAAAAGGAAGAAAGAAAGAAAAGAAAAGAAAAAGACTATGATCTCTTTATTGCTTGCACCCAAGCAATGTTTGGCTCTTCTTGCTTACTTATTTTGGTAAAACAAGCTATCATGACATCAGAACCCTGTAAAGAGTCCCATGTAACAGAAATGGATGGTAACCTCTAGCCAACAGCCAGAAGGAACTGAGGAGCTTAGTCTAACTACCCAGCAAGAAGTTGAATGCTGCCAGCAGCAGCATGAGTGAACCTGGAGGTAGATTCTTCTTTAGTAAGGTATTCAGATGTCTGCATTTCCCACTAACAACTTAATTATAGCCTTGTTTGAGCCCTGATCCAGGGGCCTCAGTGAAGCTATACCTAGATGCCTAAGCAAAAGAAATTATGAGATAATAGATACTGGGGTATTTTTGTTTTGTTTGTTTGTTTAATTTTTTAGAGGGTATGTGGGTTTCTGAGTGAGAGAGAGAGTTGTGTGAAAAAGAACTTTTCTCATAAAAGACATACTACAATTTCTTCTCCATTTCTTCCTCCTGTCAGGCTGTGGACATGCATGTGTATACATCTAACATGTTTTGTTTTTTTTTTTTGAGAGATTTTCACTGTAGGGCGCGTGCGCTCGCCAGACAGACACAGAGAGACATAGAGACAGAAAGCGAGAAATCACCCCCCAGGGGGGATGGTCACGCCGCAATCCCTTCTCCTCCATTCTCCTCTCGGGATCTTGGGCACGCACGCACACACGCCCGGCGTGAGTTTTAAGCCACCGGGTCCGGGACACGAACCACGGTCGACTACGTGGGAGTCCAGCGACATAGCCATTACGCTAACTGCTGGTTCCCTAACATGCTTTTTAGCCACCAAATCTGAGACTTGAAGCATGCAGTTGGTCATGTGAGATCCAGCTACCTTAACCACCACACCACAAGCTGGCCCAATATCTTTATTTATTGAGAATTATTTATTTTATTTTACTTATTATTAGTAGTATTTTTAAATTTTCTATAGAGCATGTGCTCTCACTAGAGAGAGACAGAGGAAAATGAGAGAAAGTGAGAAAGCAAGCTACTAGGTCTGGGCTGAATTACGTTCAGTCATGTGGTAGTTCAGCAGCTTAACCACCACACCAACTGCTGGCCCTACCAATACCTTTATTTTAAGTCACTACATTTCAGCATAATTTATTATGCATTAAATGATAACTAAGATGCCTATTTAGTTTGCCTAGAGAGTTGGCTCATATTAAATTCAAGATTTTATTAAGCAGCCAATGAATCTGTTGAGAATAACTAAATTTCCAGTTTAAGATAAAAATGATATATTTGATATTTACCATGAACTGAGTACTTACTTTGTGCCAAGTACATAACTATTAACATTTAATGCTATTAACATTGTGAAGCCATTTCAATTAGGCACAATTATATTAATTGAATTAGAATAATTTAATAGGGGCATTTTGATGTTTGTTTCCAGTTGTCTTCCCATTCAATTGTTTAAGCTCTTCTTAGGTATCATTTTATCCAGATTTTGCCTGAGTTCTCCAGTCTACCTGCATTGTCCAAGCTTGCTGAAGGTCTTCTTAATGTACCAACACTGTTCTGATTCTATGCTTAGAGATTGTCTTATTTTGATCAGGGTGTGTATCACATTAAGAAAATTATTAAAAGAAGACATACAGATGATCATTAAAAGAGTGCAGATGAAAACCACAATTAAATACCATCTCACCTGGCTGTTATCAAAGACAAAACAATACAAATGCTAGCAAGAATGCAAGGAAAAAGGCATTCCTTTACACTGTTGGTGAGAATGTAAATTAGTACAGCTAATGGAAAATGATAGGAGGATATATCATAGGGACCAGCAGTTAACGTAATGGCTATGTCACTAGACTCTCATGTAGTCGACTGTGGTTCGAGTCCCGGACCCCATGGCTTTAACTCACGATGGGCGCATGTGCGTGCATGCCCAAGATCCCGAGAGAAGAATGGAAGAGAAGGGATTGCGGCGTGGCCATCCCCCCTGGGGGATGATTTCTGGCTTTCTATATCTCAGTGTCTCTCTGTCTGTCTGGCGAGTGCAAGTGCCCTATAGAAAAACCCTCATTAAAAAAATGGAGGATATATCATAACGATAACTGCGTCCTCATATGTATTGTGGTTCTATTCTACAACTCGTTTTTTGTCATATCTGCTGCAAAAAAATGACTGCTACTCCAGGTTGTTTATTACTGAGTTCTTTTTAATGTGTCTTTGTTTTTAGAGAGATTTTTCCATAGGGCACATGCCAAAATCCCTTCTCCTCCATTCTCCCCTCAGGATTTTGGGCATTCACACACACGCCCCTGGCTTGCGTTTCAAGCCTCAAGATGTGGGACTGGAACCATGGTCTACCATGTAGAGTCCAACGATGAAACCATTGTGCCACCTGCTAGTCTCTCTTTTTACTGTTTTTATGATCCTTTAAGGTTTGACTCTTTCAATTCTGAATCCTATCTCCATCGTTTATAATAGACCACCAAGAGTGGGTGTGTGCAAACTTTTCCTTCTTGAATAATGTGCAGAATAAAATTATATCCTTCCTACCCCACATCACAATAATGAGCATGGAATCATATCATTAAGTAACCCCCAACACATATACACATGTACTTGCATAAACACACTCCGCTGAATTGAAATAGGGTGTTCCTATTGATGCTCAATATAAACCCCAAATCTATTCAACTGAGTATGTTGGTTTCATCAACTGCTGGTTAAAGTCTTCTATATGGGTGAAAAGTCACCTGGTTTATAAAAGGTATGCCACTGTCAAGACTCTCATGTATTCAGCTTCCTAGATTTTTCAGGGCTTTACAGAGCATGCACTCAGGATTTCACACCAACAGTACAGTTGAACAAAGCATATGATAGTTTTAATTATTTGGGGAAAAGCAGTAGATGTTCAGCACTGTGATGGTTAATTATGTGTCAACTTGACTGGGCTAAAGGATGCCCAGATAGCTGCTAAAAACAGCACTATGAATGAGATCATTGGTGAACTGAGCAGAGTAGATGGCTCTCTGAAAGGTGGGTGTGCATCATCCAACCCATTGAAGACCTGAATAGAATCAAGAGGTAGAGGAAAAGCAAGTTAATTTTCTCTGCTTCTGAGACATACATCTTCTCTTACCATCAGACATCTGTACTCAGGGTTTTGGGACTTCCAAACTCCCAAATCCTTTGTACCCATAATGAACAACTCCACTGTCTCCTCTGGTTCTTCAGATTACAAAAGGCAAATCATGGTACTTCTCAGCCTCCATAACTGTGTGAGTCAGTTCTTATAATTATCTCTTATATGTATATACACACATATTTCTTATCAGATCTATTTTTCTGTAGAATCCTAATATGAACACATATGCATTTCATTTGCTCAGTGCAATTGAGAAAGAAACTTTCGATCTTTTTATATTTATAATAAAAGTGATTTTAAAGATTGATGTTTAGTTTTCTTCTCCTTATATAAACATTTCTAGCATAATTGTTGAGCTCCTTAGATTCCATTCCATTTATTTTTTCTATATGACTTTTACTCAAGTTCTGTTTTAAGTGCAGGAACAAGGCCACTGAAAAGCATGAAACATTTAGGCATTAACAATTTCTTTAAGACACTCATGCCACATAACTATTTATGTTTTAACTTTTAAATTATCTTTGTCCCCCATAACTCTTTCATTAAAATTATTTTTAAAGGAGATTTGATTGAAGATGGGAAATCCTTCTTGCTTGGGTTTTCTAAAAGGTTGTTGTCAAAATCATTCATGGGGACCAGCAGTTAGCACAATGGCTATGTCGCTGGACTTCCATACAGTCGACCATGGTTTGAGTCCCGGACCCGGTGGCTTAAACTCATGCAGGGTGCGTGTGTGTGCGTGCCCAAGATCCCAAGAGGAGAATAGAGGAGAAGGGATTGCGTCATGGCCATCCCCTCTTGGGGGTGATTTCTTGCTTTCTATCTCTCTGTCTCTCTCTGTCTTTCTGGCAAGCGTACACGCCCTGTAGCAAAAACCTCTCAAAAAAAAAATCATCCATGGATACAGGAACATTAAAGCAAACTATGGCTTTGACATTATTGCTCAGAACATAGAGCCTTGCAGTTTCCTACTCTGGGGCTATAATGAAACTCTAACCAGATAACTATGCAAAATTAATGGCCTTGATTTTCTACTGATCAGTATAAATTACTAAAAATAATATAGTATGCCTCCTGTAAGCATAGTAAATTGTGATGAATACTTTTTGGGAATGTGTAGATTACTTCAGTTATTTCAAGGTTTGGAAAAAGGTGGGGTGAGGGAAGAAAAATAAAGGTTGACTTGCAAGTCTTGGCTTACGGTTGGTGGTAACATTCACAGAGACAGGAAATCCAAATGTCAGTTTTCAGTGAAAAATAATGAATTTCTCTTTGGATATGTTGATTTGGAGGAGCCTGACAGACCTCCAGTTGGAAATGTCTAGAACGCAGTTGAATATATTTGTCTGGAACTCAGGCAAGTGGTCAGGACTGGAAATTTGTGGGAAGTGAAGGGATTTGAAGTAATGAGAGAATGTGAAGGTTTGTGGATTGATTTCTTGCTATTTTTAGAAAAGAACACTTAAAACTACAAAAAACATGTGAAAGACAAACACCTTTGGCATAATATCTGTTCAAAAGTTTTATGACCATGCGCTTAACTGTATGTGCCTTAATCCTTTGAAAATATTTATTTAGTTCTTATATAAAGACTCATCTTACTACCACAAGATTATTTAGGCACTTGGGAGACTCTTGCTCAGTTTCCAGGTGTAGATAATTAACCTTGGACACAGAATAAATGTTTATTGCAATATTCACACATATGTTTATTGAAACATCTGGAAATTAAAATATAGAATTATTCTATTTGTTTTACAAATTTTTATAAAAATAATCTAGTAAGCATATAATTACTTGGAGATGTTTACTCTGTTTATAATACCACTTTTAAAAAATTTTCTAAGGACAACCATAATAGTTACGTTTTGGGTTAATAATGCCCTATAATAAAGAGTCATAAAACTTCAATGGAAAAATAACAATTAATTGGTGTTTACATGTCTGGGAAGAGGTGAAAGTTGTTTAGGTGGCTTGCCAATCTTGACTAGGTTTGTTCACATCTGGATGTCCGCTGGCTGTCTTTGGGGTACTAAGGAGACTCTTCTCCATATATTTCGTATTCTTTAGCAAACTAGCCCTAGAAGTCTTTCTCAGTATTGTTAGAGGCACAAGAAGGCAAGCCTATATATAAATACTTTTCACATCTTAGCTTGTATCTCATATGTTAATACTCTATTGGACAAAAAAAGTCATGTGATTGATCACAGTGAAAAAGGATGGTACATGATCACACCTGTTGTGAAAAGACATTGCAGACTTATATGACACAGGGGTGCTGGAGACATATTGGACCAGTATTACAGTCTGTCACAATAGCAGGGCTCCCATTCATTTGAGAGGGTAACTAGAAGTCACAATTCAATCTGTGTCTCCTGCATTCTTCCCATGGCTAATTGGATCAGGGTTATCACCATTCAAAGCTAAGAATCTACCTAAAACTAGAGATTCTAAAAGCTCTCCCTATTTGAAATTAGAATCATGTTAGAGTTTCCTTGTGAACTCAAGTTTTTGCTGTACTTTATACTGCATTTTTCATAATAATGTCATACAAAGAGAATTGCTGGAATAAATATATAAGTAAATATATTCATCTCTATTTGTTCAAGATTTTTTATCTATTACCTTTACTGTGTATGCAATAAAATATGCATAAAAATATGGCCTCTGCTCTCAATATGTTTAGAAAAACATGAGAAATAAGTCACATGCAATGCACAGTGATATTTAATTATTGTTAGAGTCAATCTAAATTCTATGGGATTTTGTTATATCAAAGAAAAATAGTAAATAGCATATTTTTTAGACCTGTGTCAGTTTCTCTATGTTTTTCAACTCTTGAAATCCTCAACAAATATATAAAGTAGATATTTTTATCCTCATTTTGCAACTACAGAACTGAGGCCTAGCACCTTTAAGAAACTTACTTAAAATTCATTCATTTACAAAACACCTGATCCAAGATTTCAACCTAGATCTTGGTAAACCCACAACCCATATTTTTTTTATTGAATAAAATTTTCTCCTTAGGATGGAAATCTTCTCTCCCTTTTAAATTATTTTTATAACTTATTATCATATTTTCTATAAAATTCTCTTTTTTGATAGAAAAAAGGGCTATTTGGTACTATATCAATGTAATACTATTAAATGTTTAAATCAAGATTATATTTTCACCCAGTCCTTCTATATAAAATATTATACATATTTTTGCCATTTTATTTAATCATAAAGAATTCTATTTCAACTGCCAGTACATATTAAACAGTTTTAGCAACATAAACAAGATACTGGTTCTGGTTACATCTTCATTTTTTTTTGCTGATGAAATGAAAGTCTTCCAAACATCTATAATAAATTCTATGGTCTCTACCCTGCAAAACTAATTAATTCATAGTATGGAATATGTAAGAAAATGAAGCATCATTAGAAAACAACTTTTCCACAAAAAAAGCTTACAAAGGACTTACTAATGAGCATCAAGGATTTAGTCAGGCAAGATATATGTTAAAATTATGTGACTATTGCTTGCCCAATAAATGTGTAAGGAAGAAACTTGCTCCAATATATAATTTAGACTATTAATTATTAAACATGGTCATTAACTCATTATTAATGTAGTTATTAAAAATTAACAGTAGCTATCTATTGAAACTTTTGAACATTTAAACCTAAGGCAAGATAGTAAACAATCCTATCAATTTTTTATAGAATCCTTTACTTAATTTTATTTATTATTATTATTTTTTAATTTGCTATAAGGCATATGCACTTACCAGAGAGAGAGGTAAAAAGAGATTGAGAAAGCAAGCCACCAGGTCTGAGACTTGAACAGTGGCTGGCCATGTGAGAGTCTAGCACATTAACTATCACACCACTTGCTGACCCCATAACAAATATTTTTACTTAGAAATAATAAATAATTATTGAAGTAGAGTGACAAATAAAGAAAATATATTTAAACAACATATTTTAAAACTAAGGAACTGAAGATTAGAGCCTATTAAAAGCTTACTTAAAATTTCTTCATTTATCAAACATCCGATTCAAGATTTAAATGTAGACCTTGCTAAGCTCAGAATCTACTTTGACAAGTAATTTGTCTTTTATTTCTTTTAACTTTTAAATTTATCTGAAATTTTGATTTTCTAAATGTGAAAAGTTTTAACCTACACAGTAAAATCCCTTGACTAACTTTTATATCTAATTCATAAATAAAGAATCAAAGCTAACCTTTCCCTTTATTAGCCTTAGAGATAGACAATTTCTTCAGAGATAAGTAACAACAGGAAAATATCAACTACTAAATCTATATCAATATAGACACAGTAAAATACCTAAAAGATAGAGGTAGTTTAGCATATATTATTCATTTATGAATTAGATATAAAAGTTAATCAGAAGGTTTGTTGTTTTTTTTTCAGAGAGAGCTTTTTTGTAATAGGGAGCGTGCAATTACCAGAGAGACAGAGAGAAAGAAAGTGAGAAATCACCCCCTGGGGGGATGGCCACACCACAATCCCTTCTTCTCTATTCTCCTTTCAGGATTTTGGGCATAAATGCACACATACCAGACATGAGTTTTAAGTCACCAGGTCCAGGATTTGAACCACAGTCAACTATATGAGTTAAGTGATGTAACCATTATGCCATCTGCTGGTCCCATTCAGGAGTTTTATTGTAGGTAAAAATTTTACAGATTTAGAAAATCAAAAATTTTGACAAATTAAAAAAATAAGAGAAATAAAAAGTAAACTACTTATTAAAGTAGACTTTTATTTTTGATCAGCACATGGCGTAATCATTACGTCACTTAACTCCCACATGGCCAACTGCAGTTCGTGTCCTGAAGCCAGTGACTTGAAACACACAGAGGGTGTGTGTGTGTGTGTGTGTGCGCACGCACAAGATCCTGGGAGGAT